GATATTATTGCTATTATGAATTACAAGATAGTATTTCAGAAGGTTATAGATATATATATATATGTCTTATAAGACAATTAACCTGAATATGGACAATTAACCTGAATGTAGACTTTCTATGTAATCATAATCTTCTAGCAACCACTCAAATATGGAACTACTGATATGTCTCTAGAAATACTGTGGAGGAGGAAATAAGAAAGATTTTGAGAATGGGAAATTGTAGACAAGAGATAAGGAAAATTGGAAACAGAGAGAATGTCATAAAGGGGAATAGACAATGATATAGTGAGGCAGAGGAACAGAGACAGGGAGACATAACCATCAAGAGAGAGGATTCAGAGCAAGGACGTTGCCAGGGATAAAGAAGAACATTACATAATGATAAGGGTCAGTTCACCAAGGAGACATAATCCTAACATGTATGCACCTAGCAACAGGGCATCAAAATACATGAGCCCAAACCAGTAGAATTTAAAGGAGAAATAGATGAGCCTACTATTAGAGTTGGAGACGTCAACATTCCTTCATCAGAAACAGACCCAGCAGACAGAAAATCAATAAGGATATAGCTGAACTCAACAACACCATCCATCAACTGGATATAATGAGTATCTATAGACTGCTCTATCCAACAACAAAGAGCAAAATACACATTCTTCTCAAGCTCACATGGAACATTCACCCTGGTAGATCATATTCTGGGATATAAAACACACCTGAACAAATTCAAAAGAATAGAAGTCACACAATGTGTGCTTTCAGACCACAATGGAATTGAAGTAAAAATCAGAAGCAGAGAGTGAGCTGGAAAATCCCCAAATACTTGGAGGTTAAACAACATTCTTCTAAATAACACAAGGGTCATGGAGGGAAATCTAAGAAACTTTAAAATATTTTGAATTAAAAGAGAAGTGTTCTATTGAGTACATTAGTAGTAATGATTATTTTTTGTATTCCTTAGGAGTACACCATCTAATACTTCGGTTGAACTAAAGATTTAAAAAATAGTTTTCATTTCAGGAATGCTGTGTGACTCATGCCTACAGCATTAGAAAAGAGTTTGTCAGCTCATCAGATCTTAAATTTTACTTTTGAAACCTAGGCCCCATCGAGTACTGGCAGGTTTGTTCCTGTGTAAAGAAATGATTTCAATCTTAGATATTTACTTTGAAACCATGAAGACACTGGATAATTTATTAGTCATCAGTTTGCCAATTTTTAAATTGCTAACTGGTATATACATATAAGATACATCATTTATAGCACAAAACATGTCTGATTGTTACATTTGGAACTGAGATATATTTAATTTCTTTTGTACTTCCTCCTTTCACTTCTGCCAGTCCTTTAGCAAAGTTAATCCATTGATTCAGGTAAGAGGCTTTCAGTATCATGTAGAATAAAATAAAATATGGGGAAAAATGAAAATAGAAGTGTCTTTCAACTGTCTGATGCTTAAATATTTTGGAGATTCTAGTTCAGTGTTTTTTTTTTTTTTGCCTCGTAAAAATGTCCTTAATGGGACAAGCAGGATTTAAACAAGGCAGAAATTCCAGACCCAGTGCAAGGACAGTCCAAAAATTCAATATTTAGGCATTCACTTATTCTTGTATATTCATTCATTAATTCATTTGTTCACTCGATAAACATTTTGTAAGTGCCAGAATTACAAAAATGAGTACACTTGTTCCTATTCAAAGGTATATATTATGACCCAGTCCGGTAAAAGAAAGCAGACTTTCAGTCCATATGACAACTGTTCTTTTTTTAAGATTTCTTTATTTTCGAGAGAGAGAGAGAGAGCACCTGAGCCTGAGCAGGGGGTGGGTCAGAGAGAGAGGGAGAGATAATCTCCAGCAGACTCCCTGCTGACCAGGGAGCCAGAGGTGGGGCTCAATCTCATGACCCTAAGCTCATGACCTGAAGCCAAAGTCAAGAGTCAGATGTAGATGCTTAACCGACCTAGCCACCCAGGTGCCCCATGGCAACTGTTCTTAATCTTAATGTCTTCATTAGGCCCTCCTGTCTCGTCTGTCCCTTTAAGTTTCAAAGAGATTCAGACCTTACAAGTAATTTTCTTTTTCTTTCTGTAAACATTTGGAAGTTGCAAAATCAATTAAGGAAGGACTGAATAAAGATATCGTGCTTTTTATAAGATGTGGGTTCAAATGCATTTTCACAACTAAGTATTTTCATATGCTTTGTATGGGTTTTCCAAATAAATGTAAAGGGCTGTCCTAGCACAGTAATTTTTTTATATAATTCTAAAAAAATAAATAAGCCTCATGTTTTAGGAGTTCATAGTATCTATTAGTGACTTGATGTATCCATTAGTTAATCCATTTGTGACTTGATGACGTAATAAACATTTATCGATAATGTTTATTCTAAAAAAGTCATTTGTTGATTCTAGAGAGGGATCTAATGGAGATGTCCTTCAGGTCCCAGTTAGCTGCTCAGACAAACTTTTTTGGGGTTGTATTTTAATGAGGTTATCTCTGTCCCAGGCCTGGTCCCCACTTTATAGATCTAGCTCTGGAAATTTTGTTAAGTATATACATTTCCATCCATATCCTACTATTCGAACTAAAAGGAAAAAAAAATGGGCGCCTCGGTGGCTCAGTTGATTAAGTGACGGCCTTCGGCTCAGGTCATGGTCCTGGAGTCCCTGGATTGAGTCGCGCATCGGGCTCCCTGCTCGGCAGGGAGTCTGCTTCTCCCTCTGACCCTCCCCCCTCTCATGTGCTCTCTCTCTCATTCTCTCTCTCTCAAATAAATAAAATCTTTAAAAAAAATAAAAGGAAAAAAAAAGGAACCATGCATAATCCTGAATGGAATTATTTATTATAAAAATATTGGCAAGAGCTTTGCTTAGTAGCACATTCCCTCTTTGTCAAAATATCTGCACAGGAAGGCAAATTAATACCTCATGGTTAATTGGTGAGCCTGGACCCCAAGCAGAGGGCATTCACTGGAGATCTTAGAGTGAGGGTTACTGATCACTGCTCACTCAAGCCACCTGGACTGAGGATACAGAACCCCCAGGAGAACTGCTTTCTCATTCCCTGGACAGTACAGAAAGAGGTGCTGGCAAACACCAGCCCTCCTGGATCACCCCCTTCTCTATTCCTCAGCCTTTCTGCAGACATGCACCCAAATTGTTACATTTGGGTCCCCTACTTACAGTCAGATCCTCCCCGCTTCCTGGTTCCGTGAGATTGCAGCAAAGCACTTTGAGTGGAGTTTGGGATGGACTCACACCCCTCACCTACACGTTTGCTTGGGTTGTCATGTTTCCTTCTCCAGTTCTTCTCATCCATGATAAGTGCATTTTGCAAGTTTTATTTTTCAAGAAGCAGTGTTATTTCTCTTATTCTCAAGTTCCTCAGGGAGCATCTCATTAATGTCTCCGTTGGAATTAATGACCCTGGACCAGGGTCGTAAACCAGCAGCATCTTTCTTTATGGGAATTCCGGAGAGACTTTTCTTCAGAGGCAAGAAGGCACAAGTTCAACAGTTCAGCCTCAGGTTATTTCTGCCTAGTAAAGGCACCAACAAAATGCGTGCACTAGAAAGATGCTGATTTCTACAAGGTATATGGAGGAAGCCATTACTAAGGATTTAAGGACAAGACAATTACTATTTGGCACATCACGAATTCATAGAAGCCTCAAATACCTGACCACCAGTGTGTTGCTATAGCAATCTGTAAATGACAAATTCACTAAATTAGCTCTTTGCCAAAAATTTTTAAGTTCGCTATCTATAAAGCATGTAGCAATTCTTATCGAAGTAAGGCAGACTTCATTTTTTAATAAATGGTTGTTGTGGGTTTTTTTTTTAAGATTTTATTTATTTATTTGATGAGAGAGAGAGAGCGCGCACAAGCAGGGGAAGCAGCAGAAAAAGGGAGAAACAGGCTCCCTGCTGAGCAGGGAGTCCAATGCGGGGCTCGATCCCAGGACCCTGGGATCATGACCTGAGCCGAAGGTAGACGCTTAACCGACTGAGCCACCTAGGCGTCCCTGTTTCTTGTGGTTTTGAATTTCACAAGGGTACATGATGCAAATGCTAAGCCATACAGCATCATTCCCCGTATGGCCTTTCTTAGTTATATTAGTACCTGGATTTGCTCTTTTAATAGAAGTACAGATGAAATGAATTACAAATAGTGCATATAGGGAACTGCATCTTAAAATGTCTTCACACGGATCCATACACACCACAGCCTTCAAATCAAGCGTGAATGCCTAACCTCATACTTGTTCACACGCCTGCCCACAAAGTCTAGACTTATGATACATGAACACTGGGCAGCCTGCCAAAAAACCAATTCCTACAAAGTTTATGGATTGTTATTTGGAACCATTTTTTGGTAAATCAGTAACTAGGAATCAATCAGTAGATTGCTAAATGGCCAATTGTCGGTTTGTATCCATCACCCACTGTAAAGTACAGTCAATAGAGCCCGTATGTAGCCCATCCACTGATTCCTTCTTAGCGACCCTAAACAGTCAGAAGATGCTCCTTCTTTTATCACATAAGCTCCTCTAAAGTGCAAAGGTGGATTTCTGTTGCTGAAAGCCTCACGGTTGATATTTCTAATGAGAAACTGGATTTTCACATCTCTTTCCTAGGCTACTCTAATTCTCATATCTGGAGTCCTTCCATGGCTGATGACCTCTACACTCCAGCAATTCTCTTAATAATTCTGGCATGTGCAGCTCCAAGATAATCCATATTTAATGGTTACTTTATTTCATCTTTGGCTTGACATTCTTCCTCCCCATTACAGTGTCATTGGCTCTAGGTAATCTGTCCTTGGTGACGTAATCCCAATTCTGTAAAACTGGTTGTCAGATTAAGTGATTAACTTAATGTGTAACTAGATTGTTAACTTTAAAAGTTTATCTTCTAAAAATGACAAAATGTATGTCTAGATGTTTTTTTTGGACAATTCCATCCCAAGCTTTCCATTTTCTCTTTTTCATAGTGAAATGGGGGAAAATCAGACGGCAGTGACAGAGTTCATTCTACTAGGATTTTGTTTTGGCCCAAGAATTCGGATGGTCCTCTTTGGGCTCTTCTCTCTGTTCTATGCCTGCACCCTGCTGGGGAACGGGCTCATCCTGGGGCTCATCTGGCTGGACTCCCGACTGCACACCCCCATGTACTTCTTCCTCTCCCACCTGGCCATCGTCGACATAGCCTATGCCTGCAACACCGTGCCCCAGATGTTGGTGAACCTCCTGAAGCCAGACAAGCCCGTCTCCTTTGCTGGCTGCTGGACACAGACCTTTCTTTTCTTGACTTTTGCTCATACTGAATGTCTTCTTCTGGTGGTGATGTCCTATGATCGTTTTGTGGCCATCTGCCACCCCCTCCGATATTCTGCCATCATGCGCTGGAGGGTCTGTGTCACCCTGGTGGTGACTTCCTGGGCATGTGGCTCCCTGCTGGCCCTGGTCCATGTGGTTCTCATCCTAAGGCTGCCCTTCTGTGGGCCTCATGAAATCAACCACTTCTTCTGTGAAATCCTGTCCGTCCTCAAGCTGGCCTGTGCTGACACCTGGCTCAACCAAGTGGTCATTTTTGTGGCCTGTGTGTTTATCTTACTGGGGCCCCTCTGCTTGGTGCTGGTGTCCTACTCACGCATCCTCTTTGCCATCCTGAAGATCCGGTCCGGGGAGGGCCGCAGAAAGGCCTTCTCCACCTGTTCCTCCCACCTCTGTGTGGTGGGGCTCTTCTTTGGCAGTGCCATTGTCATGTACATGGCCCCCAAATCCCACCACCCTGAGGAACAGCAGAAGATCCTTTTCTTGTTTTACAGTTTTTTCAACCCTATGCTGAACCCACTGATCTATAGCCTGAGGAACGCAGAGGTCAAGGGTGCCCTGAGGAGAGCGCTGTACAAGGAAAGTCATTCCCAATTGGAGTGACATTGGAATCCCTAGGCTCAGTAGTTCCCTGGAGCCTTGGGTACTGTGTACCACCTAAGCTTCTCACTCTTTATATCTGAGACTGAATAATCCAAGAGATTCTGTAAAGCACTCCCTTTTCCTGTCCAGAAAGTACTTGGGTTTTTTTGCATTCATTATATGTAATTCTATCAAATGTATTCTTTCATCTAACTGCACAGTCAGTTGAGAGCACCTAGAGGAATAAATTGATTTCATCCACTGCTGTGGGTCCCAAAAGGTTAAAATAGACACTCTACCTGTGACTTCATCAGGTGTGCTCAATAATAGCAGAATGCAGGCTTTACCGGATGTAGCCATGTCAGTGACCATTTTTTAAAATATTGTAGCCACAGAGACTTGGGACCTGTTGATACCTTTTTCCCTTTTTACTCCATATTAGGATGTTTCCCCTTAATTGTACTTCCACTTATAAATAGTAAATGTACCTAAATGCCTACTTAGACTTAGGGGAACGCTGATTTTGTTAAACCTTATAATCTGTCTTATAAATCTCTGTGGTCAGAAAGTAAGTCTGCACACATTCAGCTGGCATCCCAGGGAATTACCCAATGAAATCCACTTTCCAGCCTGCCCTGGGCTCTTGATGGTCACTTGTTTATAAACTCTTCTCACCTGCTTAAGAAGAGTATCTGTGATTCTCTCTGGACAAACACATACTCTTCACTAGGAGGAGTTAGCAAGTGCTACAATCCAGCTCTCAGTGATCAGGTAGTGAAGGAAAGCCCCAAGTAGAGGCAACTGAATGGGAAAAAAAGGTTTTAACAATAACAATAGTAGTCAACATTATTACCATGTACTTACTCCATGCCATCCACTGCACATAGAAGGCTAATTTACAGAGATCACCTCATTTTTATCATAAAAATCCATTTCTCATTATCGTCCCATTTTACAGATGTAAACATTAAAGCAAATGGCAAATGCTAGACCCATGCCCCAATGATCTGACTCCCAAGCCTTCTTTATACAATGTAGTACATCATTATCAATATGACCAAATTAAGAATAAGGCTAACCTATCCCAACCTAGTATATTCTAAGTGTATATGGGTTTCTTCTCAGTCTAATAGGTGCTGCAATGAGGCTGGGAGAGCCAGAGATTATAGAAGGTCTCTTGTCCCGGTTGGTGACTCCTCTGGTCAGGGTCACAAAGAACATTAGGAGCTTCTGAGCACAGAGAGGGTAGGAAGGGAGGCTATTCTCAGTGAGGTGAGAGGTTTGGTTTAGAGCTCAGCTGGTGGCAAGACACAGAACCAAGGCATCTCTAGTTTCACACACACCACTCACATGTTCATGCACATTCGTGTGCATGCATGCACACACACACTTACGGACTCCTTACTATGGTAAAGCACTCTGTTCTAAGTACCTTGTAAGTATTATCTTTTTTAATCCTCATAACTACCCTATGAGATAGGGACTATTAACCACTCTTTGTGGGGAGAAAACAGAGACACAAGGAGATTAAGTAATTTAACCAAAGCCTTGCAACTGATAAGTATCTAGTCCAGGATCAAACTTAGGTGATCTACCAAACCCATAGGCATAACCACTAAATTAAAGTCAAAGAGATTGTGAAATTTCAGAAGCAGGAAATGGAAATAGAGGAAGAGAGTAAGAAACTTTCAACCTCCAACCAAAGAGAGGCATTGGGCTCCGGATAGAAAAGGTACTTATGTTTGCAAAAGAACGCAGCTAGAGCCCTCTTCCCCGGGCAGTGCTGCGGGGTGGGGGTGGGGGGGTGAAGCAGCTCTTTCTTGTCTGCGGTCCGAGGGTCCTTGCAGCCCCGGCAGGTCTTCGGACGCAATGAGGCGGTCGCAGCTGGGCGCACTGCAAACGTGGCAGCTGCCTCATCCAGGCGAGTGCGCGGCACCTGGAAGGGATGAGCCGTGCCGGCTGCAGGACCAGCTGCGGGAAACTGTTCTGCGCAAGGAGCGATTTCCCGGGCTGGACGTCCGAGTCCGAGGGGGGTGGTGGTCACGTGGCCCAGATTGGCGCAATCTGCCGGTCAGTCACCAAAGCCCTGGTGGCCTATTGTCAGAAATACTGGGGTGAGGCTTCCGAGAAGGCCATCCAAGACATCCTCATCCAGTCCGACCCGACTCTGCTGGAAGTGGATTCCCAGCCCTGAATCCAGAAAGTTTGGCAGCCCTGGTACCCGTGCTCGCGACCAGAAATCCTGCCAATAAACCCAGCATGAGGATCAGGGTTCACCTTTATAATAAACAAGTGTCACCGGACTTAAGGTTAAATTGATGGGTCACCAAATGGAAGAACCTTAGAAAGTGATCTTGTAATTTACCTAAACTGGATATACTTTGTAATTTGCATATTGCCTAACAGTCTTTAATCTGCTGTTTCATGACAGGTGTCGGGTGCTGCATGGCAATGTTTGGTGGGATGCAGGGCAACAGAAAGAGAAATGGTGAAGAGTTGTAAAGCCAGGGACAGGTCTCAAAGGTAAAAAGCTCTCCTGGTACAAAGTGGAGCATCAAAAAAGAGTGGGGCCCAGAAAGCATGCCCCAGAAGCCACCTGTGTGGCCTCCTAACTCTGGGCAGTGCTCTCCTAAGGTTGGCCTAAAGCATCTGGACCCTTAAACATGCAAGATCTGCGGCTAGAGACCTGGGTTCTAGGCCCAACTCTACTGTTTGATAGCCATGCTCTTCCCAGGAATATCCGCTAAGATGCCTGAGTCTCTGTCCCCCATCCATCAGGTGTGCAGAATGAGAGCTGCCTAGGTGGCCCCATAGGACTGCTGAAGGCCTCAAACAAGAGGGGTGCAAATGGACACATTTGGAAGACTTAAAGTGCTATGCAAATATAACATATTGCTATCATTATAGTTAACATTAGGTCAGAAATTATTCTAATATTGTCAGGCTTGCTAAACTTTGAGTCTGGTATCAAAGCTATTCCTTAGTCAGCGGGAGCATTGGGGTTGATAAGTCACCCAAACCTTTGCCCACATGGCTTCTGCAACCCCCCTTCAGCCTTGGAGGGAATAACTTTCCCCAGAATCCAGCCTGCAGACCAGACTCAGTGACCTTTTTGTGAGTCAGTTGGCAAAGGCCCCAGGGGGAACCTCTCTCTCTTTAAACCTCTTCATAACCTATCCACTAAGAAAGCATGGGGGACCCCTTTCCTAAAGCAAAGGAATTCAGATTTCAGGATTTTTTTTCAGATTTGGTTTTTTATTTCCAACATGTACCATCTTTAATCTGGTATTTACAGATTATGTATCATCCCTCTACAAGGAGAAGGACAAGAATCTGTTCATCTTTTCATCCCCAATATCTTAGCATACTCACTAAACATTCGGCAAGTAAAGGACCCTTTATCCATTAGCCTCATTTCCAGATTTTCAGTGTTGAACTCTCTTCTGATTTCTAACCTTTTCTACATCCGTCCAGTGGCAGATTATAGTATAGTAGAGACGCAATTATAGCTGATAATTATTGAGCACTTACTATGTGGTAGACACTACATAAAATGCTGCAATAACATCTTCACATCAGATCTGTGGAGTGGACACTGTTACTATCATTATACAATGATGAGGAAATAAAGTTTAGAGAAATTAATTAATTTACCCAAGGTCACAGAATTAATCACAGATGGAAACAATTCAAGACTAAGCAGTCTGGCTTTAAATTACCTCTGAATTGTTCTTTTGCAGAGAATCTACTGCTATTCATAACCTGCATGGCTGGCATAAGGACTGTTCGTAATATGTACTTAGTAAACTTCGACTGAATGAACAAATAAATATTCATTATATTTAAATTTCCACCAAGAATTTATGGGCCTGGGGATGTGTTACCCTTCATTTCTTTAAGTTATGTGTCTTATTATCCATTAGGGTGTCTTATTATCCATTAGATTTATCCAATTCTTGCCTTTAATATATTCTTATGTGATGGATAGTAATAATTAAGAATATGTTATTGCTCTAAAATCACAGAGAAGAAAGGAAAAATCTAGGGTAGAAATTTAGCACTAAATATAAAAATCCTGGGGATGTTTATTCATTTCTATCAGAGGAAGCAGTGGTCACTGGCTTCTCAAAGGACTGTGCCAAATTGCTGAGCCTGTGATCCTGGAAGGCTAGGATGTTGCCGGTGCCAGACAGGAAGCCATGTTAGGGTGTTGCCCTTGAAAACGGGCAAGAGGGTGGAGACAGTTGTGGGCCGTAACTACTGAAAATGATAGGGATGGGGAATCTGTTTGTGGTAGCTGGTTCACTTGCCGCCTGAAATTAGCACCTGTGGCATCTTTGACATATGGACCAGGGATTGCCAACCACCAACCTGCAGGATTGTTGTTTACTGTTTGCTGTGAATGTAAAGTATCATCATTAAACATGGGTTGTTGAGGGCAGACAAAAATGAAAGGAGGGTTGAAATGTAGTACCCCTGGATGCAAGTATAACCGTGGTTCTCCAACTAGCAAGGAGGTGTCTTTCTCTCCTTGCTTTCTTGACAAACTTTGTTGGCTCATTTTGATATGTCTTTTTTTTCTAACCTGTGTTTCTGTTTTTTTCTATTTTAATTTTTGAAATCACATTTGGTCAAAAGAAGAGGTGGATCCTTGAACACACTTGGATTTAGACAAAAGAGTGCTGGCTCAGAGTTGGGATATCTGGGTTCCCATCTTGGTTTCCCCACTAACTCACTGTGTGACCTAAGAAAAGTTGCTTACTCTGCTGGCCTTCAGGTTCTTCGCCAATAAAATGAAATTTGAACTAGGCACTTTTTAAGATTCTTCTTATTTTCTTGTTCTCTGTCTGTTGATTTCCTCACATTTCAATGAAATTTGGATTTTCACTTTTTCAAAGGAATGTAGATTAAGTTCCATGAAGAGAAAATGAAGTGGACTCAAAGATAATTGAATATCCTGGACCTTAAACATGGTAGGAACTGAAGAGTAACTGCTGAGTCAATGAGTGAGTTGAATATTTATTGAATATTTATTTATTGAAATTGCCTAAGGCTGGCTGAAATAGGAAGTGAAATGCCTACTCTTAGAAAAGTCAGTTTTATTAGCCTCTTAGGATCTTATTAAATATAACTTTCATTGGGAAAGCTTCTGGGACCAGAAATCAAACTTTATATCGAATTTGGTATCTCTGTTGCTCACATTGTAAATAATAATTTTCATGTGCAGTACTTGCTGAGCACTTACCAAGTGTCAAGC